CCAATAAAACCCCATCCCCTTCTGTATCACAGACATCCTGAAAGAAGTTGGCTCACTGGCTTACAGGTTGTAAAACTACGATTTGGAAATACAGTTTGCAGGCAGGAGCTGACCCTCTAGCATATAATTCAACTCCTTGTATTTACAGATCCTTAAACTATAGAAATGATGCCAGTGACAAGCAAATAAAAGAACAGAAAGTTCCCTTCATACTCCTTAGGCTTTGTGGTCTAATAGTATTTCAAAAGGCTGTATTTTCAACATGGTATTTGAGAACACTAGTGAGCTAGTAATGTTCCTTGAACACGTATAGAAACGTTATTGCAACATAACCATTCCTTTACCCTAAATCCAACAAATACCAGTTAGAATGTTTTATCAGTGAGACCCTGAAAGGCCAAAGTTCACTTTCCAGTTTCTTGGGAAGCTTTCCAAATCTCTCCCATTAAATACACTTGATATTTTTCTCCTTACCTATGTCTACATGAGATTTTCTTTTTTCTCATTACTGTGTTACTACTCACATGTCATGTCACTAAGAATAGCAGGAAATTACAATAACATGTTTGCATTATATAACATGCTTGGTAGGAACTGTGAGAGGTCAGAGCTAAAAATATAGATTTTGCATTGTTTTTATTTGCATGCACTGCTGCTGTATTTTTGCCCACCCGGAGCGTTATGTCTCTTATTGTGCAAATCAGCATTCTTCCCATTTCAAAGCTCATTCGTTCACTTATTCTGAATTTTTAATCATACTGTCTTCATAATACATGAATTGACTCTTTTCCACACATAAAAAAATTCAGACTGAGATAGCAGTACCTCTTTTCTGAAAAGTGGATCATGAACTTCAGGCCCAGTCCTGTGCCTGCCATCCACTCGCAACAATGTGAATGCCCCATGGTCACTTCAAGGCAGTAAGTGGCTTCTCTGGAAGGCTATCTGTTAGATTTTCTTTCTCAAAAGATGATTTCTGGGAGACTGTCTCTCAGGCTTCAGATGATCCCATTTCTTCCTGTGGAAGTGTCTTAACAGTGCAGTATGTTCTATATTTCATACTATGAAACTTAAGAGGAATCTTGGTGCTTCTATACCAGGGACTGTGTGCAAATTTCCTGAATTCCAGATATGACAATGAACCTAGTATTTACAGGGTCTCTCCAAAGGTCTGGATTAGATCAGTAAATCTCCGTGGAACTTAGACAATCTGAACACATCATGAAGTGTTTATTTTACTCAACAAAGTAACAGAAAAGAGTGCTTATTGCTTTAGATAACATATATTTTCAAATTTCTACGGCAGTTTTCAAGACTGAATAAAGTCTTCTAGGTTGAAACATAATATAAATTACTTCTTCAGGGAAGAGGGATTAAAAGAAAGAAGTTTCAAAATCAGAATCTTTGGGTAAAATGATGGTTGACTCATTTTCCCAGTTAAGAGCTGTTCCTTTTTTAGATCAAGCAACTTGTGTGTTGAAGAAGTTGGTTGATAAAGTGGATGAATAAAGAATACAAAGACTGCCTTCACTCTCACACACTCCCAGCCTGTGCAGTTCGTGTGTAGTTTCTTTCTGAGCATTTTCTTTAAGGTTCTTTTTAACTACACCTCTTGGTAATTGCTGCAGTTCTGTCTCTCTTTCATCCTGTCTGGCTTTACAGTCCAAGGATCTGCAGGACTTCTCCCACATACTCAAGGCAGAAGGCACTCTGGCATTCAAAATGCTAAGTACTGCATTCAGGATAAAGTTAAGTCATACAATTGGCTATTCTTGGCCCTCCTCTTCTCTTCAGGTTTAAAGAGGAAGGTACCAGCTATTTGTGGTGTCTATAAGAGCAGAAAGAATGGCTAAATGGACTATTCTTTATTTCTTTATATTTCATTATCTGATTAGAAGAGTTTTATGGGGCAAGTCCAGCCTGGAGAAGTTTGGCATTGCAAGATGAGAAAGGTCATTCCCCTAACCACAAACTCACCCACAGAGCAAAAGGCAGAATAGAGCATGGACAGTCTCACCTTGCTCCTTCCCTGAGTGTGCTGTCACCAGGTATTTTTGGGGTTATCTGGGACAAAATCTTTGGGATGCTTATCCTTTGGCTTTTTGAGGATGTGGCACTGAATATTATGAGGAGGGTGCTGGGGTGACAGCATTTCGCTGATTATGCCAGTCAGATAAAAGAAGTGGAAGCACTCAACCTTCATCATAGCAAGACTGAATGGAAATCTATGCGACAAAGAAAACTCGCTTCTGTTGCTGCTAAAAGCTTGCAGGAAAACTTTTCCAGAGAAGGTCACAAGAACCTTTTATTATGTAATGCAGCAAACAATCTAAAGCTCTTTCTAACAGATGAATACATAAATAACACTAAATGCATGCAGTCATCGAGCACTACATTTTTCATTCCTGTGTACAAGCCAGACCTTTGCAATAAACAAGCATTCCTTTGCTGAAGTAAGTGGAACTGACCTATCTGTGTACCTGCAGATAATTTGGCCCCACAATCTTTAAACTGTAGATTAACTTGCACTGAAGAAGTGAAATGTAAAAATGATACTGTCTTGAGAGAGTAAGTTCTTGAAAAAGTGAGTGCCTCAACATATGTTGAATAGCCCTTACATAAAAATATTTTCTTGTAGACTTTTAAAACAAACTCTCTAGAATTTTACTGACTCATACACATCTTAAAAAAAAAAAAAAAATGTCCTCAGTAACACAGGTATTACACAATTTCCACAGAACCATCATCTTAAATTAAAGAAAAAGCCTCACAAATGACAATCATTATAGAAATCTGAATAGCTTAGCCAACTGTTAAGTACATATATTCATCATTACTGAATGCACTACTGCTTTAAACATACATAATTCCAAAATAATCTTCTAGAAGTAAACACAGCAACAGCCATAAAACCTAAAATCGCAGACAAACTGAGCAGTATTTGTTGTATTAAAACTCTGACAAAATAGATTTTAATCATGTCCAGTTGTACAAATTCTAAAACAACCTGGAATGCCATTTGGCCTTCATGATTAATTTGTACGTTATCATTGTAAACAGAGCTTCCACAACATGTCTAGAAAGTCTGCTTTTTTGAAGCAACATTTAAACAATCAACATGCCCTTTCTCCCTTTTATGTCATGGTGGTTGTGAGGGGATTCTAAATCAATCAGGAGACAGCAGGATTTTTCATATTTGATTAGAGAAGAAGAATTTAATTGCAGAAAAAATGCAGAATTCTGAACGACCTCAGGTATTTAGCTTATTGCCTTGAATTGGAGAACTTGTGATCTCCTTATCCATTTCAGGAATTACAGAATCTTCTGTGACATGGCTGACGTGCTGATCAATACAACAACAGCAATAATTTATACTGCAAGTTTAGTGTAGTTTCAAAAACCTGCATTAACCAAGCTGGTGCTTGTAGGAGGATCAATACACAAGGCATCATTCTTAGCGATGTGCATAAAAGAAGTATGACTAAACTTCTAACACCCAATGAATGCAGATTAAGATGCAGAATGCACTCTGCAAGCTATGCCATGATATGCTTCAGAGTGTAATGTAAAATAAAATGCAATAAAATGTATTGAGAAATTCTTACTTTAATTTTCACTTTCTGTTTCACAAGGTATTTACATTAAGAGTTTGTAGGCAGCAGTCATTTTAAGACCTGCTGAAAGGATCTTTACCATATGTTCATCTGCTTTAATCAGTTCTATAGCTTCAAGTTACTTTAAATCTCTCCTTCTATTTTCTTACCACTATTCCACTCATTTGGTGTACTTAATCTCCTAACTGGCTTCCTTTTACCACCAGCAAAGTTGCTGATGCATCTCCACTGCTATAGGAATTAATAATCTTTAGTTCACAGTGCAGTTAGAAGGAATTAAACTTTTTTTTTTTTTTTTAAGGCCTAATATGTTTGTGCTAAAGCAAAAATAAGTCCAAATATTATTATTTTGATTCAGATGCTTGAATTCAGGACTACACTGCAGCTTTATAGCATGAAGTAACATAAACATAAAATCTACTAAATTAGTTCCACTGTATCTGCTTTAATTGCTTTCTCATTTCTTCTCAGCTTGTTCACACTTATCAAAACTGCTACTTTTTTTTTTAAGTTGTCTGAATGACAATTTCCTAAATTCATCCATAGAATGATGAAACATATCTAACACAGCAGTGAATGCTGCAAAATAAAAATAAAAATTAAATGTTCTGAAAACACCACCCCCTAAAAAAATAATAATTTATGTATAAAGGGGAAACATCTTCAACCTCTGAGAAATCTGTATTTATCTCATCTATATTTTCCCTTGTTCAAAATATTGAGCTCATTACTGGTTATGATTCAAAATAATATAATCATTCCTCTGTTTTCTTCACTGAAAAGCAGGCATCTTTTATCACAACAGGTGTACGACTTACATGGTAATGTGCATCTCGCTATGAAATTAAACCACAGCAAACTGGAAATTCATTAGGATGAACTATATAACATTAAAGAACTGAAGCTATGGTTTTCCAGTCTTTTTTTGTAGTTCTGTCATGGCCAAGTAAATGTAAACACTTCATGGATGGTACAATACATATTTTGAGAAGTGGTTAACTTACTAAGAACTGATTATCTTATATTTGTGAAGTAAACAAGAAAAGAGAATATCATAGACAGTAGTTCAGCATAGAAAATATGACATGCCCTTGAACTTCTAACACTGCAGTAAGCAATTACCTTAAAGAAGCCACCCACACAACAGAACTATGGCTTTGTTCCTTATCTTCAAAGAACAAGCCACTTGCATCTGGATCAAATCCTTTAAACAATACACGAACACTCAACATCAAAGCACTTCCATTTTCTTCAGTTATTTAATTTAATTAGAGCTAATACAGACATGAATTTAGACACTGACTGCTGCGTAGAAAATCCCCAGAAAACATGTTCAAGAAATTAATCAATTTGGTTTTAATTTTATAAAGCCTTTTCCCCCAGTACCTGACAGGAGCGCCTCTGCTCTGTGCAGGTTTCAGTAAGACTGTCACAGTGCTGTCAGTTTGATTCAAAGGTGTCTCGAGTTCATATGGTGGCATAGAGGGTGCTAGAATAAGAAAGGAAAAGAAGCAAAATAATCATTATTCCTGTATTTCTTCTTTCAGGAGCCATATCTTTATTTGAATATGTAATCCTAAAGACTTCTGCCAATATAAAGACTGTATAAAGCTCTAATATGCTTTCAGTTATAGTAGAAGTATTAGACAATTCTTAAGTAAATTCAGTAAAAAAAATAAAAATAAAAAATCCTAGCTCACTGAGAATTACTAGAGCCAACAGCTCCTAATACAGCTAAGTTTTCAGAAAGTACTGAGAGTACATAAGTTGGAAATGAATACATATACATTTTATTTAAAGAAGAGCATCTACAAACTGTAGATATATGCAAAAGTGACTATATTTTTTGAAACTGTGAATCCAGCTTTCTCAGTGTGTCAGCAATAGTTGGATACGCTTCTGGAACTTGTCATTTGTGCTGTGGCTGTCATGGGCCTATCTATTGTCCACCACAGATATCATTCACGATAATGAAACAGGATTATCATCATGAGAGCTTATCATACACTCAATGGCACTTTTGCAAACCGTGTCCCCATTAAACAATTACAAATGATTCCTCAGTTACAATCTTCTACTGCTATTGCTTTTCTTCCAATGCTCTTATCTAGTTGTGTTTTTACCACTATAACTAATGGAAGGCTGCTCAGTTAATTGTTTGTTTAGCAGTCTATCATATACTTATTGTCCAGCTATTAATGATGATACACTTCTACAGACTTAAAAGGCTACAGAAGCAAACAGAAATCACTGCAGTGAACTTTTTCAACCACAGGAATGATGCAAGACAATGAACTTCCCCAAACTAATTCCAGCTTATAACAGAAAATACATTTTTTTGGGGTGGCGAAGATCTTTTATTTAGCTCTGAGTTCTTTCAACAGCTAATTATCCTCATTGTTGAAGACTTATTTAGCATCTAAATTCATTTTGCTAAATATTTCAGATGCTGGACACTTTGTGTACCACACTGCAGAAGTTATTCAGAGTACAGTGTGCTCTACATGCAGACAATTTCATTGAATAACAAGGGACCTTAAAATTACCTAGTTCCAGCCCCCTGAAATCAGTTTTCACTGATTTCAGTTTTGTAGTTTTATACATGTGGGATTTATCCAAATCATACCCCGTTCTCAAGTTGGCTATCCCAAAAGTGAGGGAATCACAGAGTAAGTGTGAATCTGAAAGCTGTGTAAACATTTCCGAAACACTATCAGTGTCATTTCTTGCCCTTGGTCTCCTGCATGCATCTTAACAAGTCTTACAGTCTTACTGAGTTGTGACTCTTAGGTCCCTACAAGCAATGTTTATTAACCTTAGTCTCTCTCCACCAAAACTGTAATCCTGTCCAGGCTACGAGCTACGGTTCTCCCACTCTTACCTTCGAACCTGGCTACTTTGTCTCCTCTCCACAGATATCTGGACTTTACCTATTTTCCCCCTTTTGTTCTATCTAGATAAGGATTCTTCCTCCCCCACACTGCCCACAAACAAAGAAGCAGCTTATCTTCCTAAAATGGATGAAATTCTTCTGGGTAAAAAAGGCAGCATAAAAAAATTCAGCCTCCCCAGCTGACTTTTCACAAAGTTATACACAACAAAAAACAGTCTTCTAATACAACATGCCCATCAATTTTGACAGCAGGCATGGCTACTAGCTCTCCTTTTAGTAGTGCATATTTACATACAGATCACTTCATCCATCAATGCCAATCACACCACTGTAGAATGAAACACGGCAAATACTTACAGTACAGAATAGTACTACTCATCAACTTAAGACAGAAAATCAAAGCCATGAAAATGCAGTCTAGAGTCAGACAAATTAAAATTCAAGATCTGTTTAAAAATTGGTCAGAATGCATAGTTTCCAGGTCATCTGTTCTAAAATGTACTTTGAAACCTTTTTTTATAAATGTTCAGCACTTTCATTTGACATCTTTTCACAATATAGACACATCAAAAGCCTCAAAGCCTTACAGGTAAGACCACAGGCCAATAACATTGCAAAAAATGATACTCAACAGCTAAAATTTCAGTTGCAGTTCTTCTATGATACTATGAAATGTATTCTGCTTGTATTTTACAGAAATACACCAAGAGATTGGCTTTGACCTCAGGACAAATTTTAAACATATCCTGTTAGCACAGTAAATAAGATGAAATACTAAGAGAGTTGGGCGCAGAGAAGACAGCTTGCAAAACTTCACTAGATGGCTCTTTTGGAGCTTTGTCTCATTTCAAAGCATGGCTTTAATGTCCACTCAGACAAATGAGTTTTTGTTGGTAACATATCGAATTTAAAAGAGAACAATTTAAGCCATAGCACTATTCTTAAATGCACTCTATTCTCAGCAGCCTCCTTCTTACCTCATTCTAGTAAGGCCTGATTCTATCATACTAAGTCCTATCAAGACTTGCTATGTTAGGAATTCATTTCTGACAGAAACATTTTGCTCAATGTGAGAAGAGGGAGAATGATCCCATCTTTACAGATCGGCATTAATTACTGTTAGACATTCTTCCAAGAATAATTTTCCAACTTGAAAATTACCAGTCTTTTTTTTTTTTTTTCCTCTAGTAACCTCAATTAGCAATAATTTCCACCTCACATTAACTGCCCTTTCCTGTAATAAAAAAGAATTGCTTTATTTCTGATTAATACTTGTGAGGACAGAAAAGGATTGATGCAGGGAAAAATATACAGAAAGAGAATAAAAAAGAAATAAGATTTCGTATCCAAATGCTTTCCTTTATCTTTTATGAAAAGCAAATTTGACACAAATAGGTAAGGCAATTTTCTGTAAACATTATCAAGGTCCAACTCTCAATTTAATTCCCAGGAAGACTGTAGGTAAGTGAAGAGTAAAGGGATTTAAATTTTAACTTTGCAAAACATTTTGTTGTTGATTTACATAAGGATTTTAGGATTTAATAGTATTGTATCCCATCGGTTGGAGAAATTAAGCGTTCCTCTGCCTCTGGGAGGGCTTTAAAGTATTGTTCATGGATCTGTAGAAGTGACAGAGTCATGCTGCTCTTATCTGGAAACAACAACTCCTGATGTTCTTGTCTAATACGGTTTCATACCCACTTCAGTTCACACGCCTACTAGGAATGTATGCTGGCTGGCTGTCAGCAGCACTTTCTAACTGAGCACTGGACATACAGTGTATCTGCTCTACTCTAAATTGTTCATGGCTCATTAAAGAGATTTTCCAGCACTGTTACTGTACTAATTTAGAATCATGTCAAGGCTGAATAAGCTCTGAATGGAGCCCTCATCCTCATGTCCAAAAAACCCTATGCTAAATGTTGTAACAGTAGCTGGCACTGACTGTAGGCACATAATTCATTGGGTATTTTGGGTGGTAAGTTATAGCCATGAATAGGAATTTCAAACTACTAGCTGCTATTTAAACACTTGGGAAGCTTTTCAGGTACACTAACATATGTCATTGTGGCATCTTCAGGGATGAAGGCTTATTTTACTTTCAATTTGCTACTCGTAAATTCCTAAAGAAGAGATAAGTAGCAAAAAAAAATTGAACATGCCATCATTAAATGTAAACAATTATATTTTTTCATTAAATACCTGATATTTTAGTGGTGAACTGATTTGTGATAGGAGGTCCAAAGCCTTTAGCTGTGCTGGCCCTGATGGTAAAAGAGTAGGTAGTGCCGGGATACAATCCAAAAAAGAGATAGTGCGTTTCATTTCCTAGCTTTGAGACTCGTCCACTTTGATTGGATAAATCTATTTCTGGGTCAAAGGAACTGACTGCTTTGTAGGTGATCTGCAAAAGAATAAGAAAGTTATAAACTGTCTTGAGCAGATGGACAAAGATTGCATTTTTATCCAGTAAACCCTTCTGATGTATGTGCTGTCAGACATTTTATGATAAGCTATCTTACTCTCTTATTCTCTTCAAATCCTGAATCCCATGAAGGGACAGAGAAACTTAGCTATAACTGGTATGAGTTATTACTTTTATAGATATGGAGACTTAGAGGCAAGCTAGATTACAACTCTAAAGGATGGGTTCAGGCTTACATTAATTCCTTTAAGGTGCTGCCTTTAACAATGTCATTTTTTGAACCCGTCTTACTGTTGGTTTTGATCAGCAACAATAACAAAAACAAAACAACAGAGTAAAAGCACATAAACAAATAATGCAAAAAGTGCCTCCTACTTCTAACTGATTTGACTGCAATTACACTTTGCTCTGAATAAGATTATCCTTAGAAGATGATAAGGGCAGCTTAAGGCAAATTTTTCAGAAAGCTGGTAGAGCTTATATTTTAGTCTAAAGCTTAGATATTGTAATTGCTAATTTGGAAATTTTCAGGTTATTATATTGTACCTAGGTCAGATTCTCCTTTGGAGGAAAAGAGAGATAAAATGCTAAGTAATATATGCAAAACATATATTGTATCCTCAGTTCCTTCTTTGACTCAAGCAGTATTTTCAGTTTTCATTAGAAATGTTAATATAAGTTCACAGCAAAACTTGATCCAGATTTTTTATATTAATTACTAATTTCCACATATCATAATGAGAACTTAAAAAATAGAAATATATTAAAAAATAAGAATTATTAATTTCTCCTTTTTACTTATAAAGTTTCATTCTTATATGAATTCCAGCACTTTATATAACAAAGTAATAACTAACATTCTTTTTTGTTGTAATTATTACACAGTACATTATTACACATAATTCTGATTAAGAAGACAAACACAATAAATATTTAAAAGCATGTAAGTGTTGACATTATACATTTTTAACATTTGCCATATTACATTTTTGTATTTTTTTTTTTTTTTTGTATAGCAATTAATTACTGGACAGGTAAGCAGCTAATATTATATAATTAAGTTCTTCCAGGCATCAGGAAGAACACAATAAAAAAAGGTGCTTTGGCTGGTTAAAACGAACTTGCATTGTTTTTTTGTTTCACTCCTACTTATAAGCAAAGTCCACAGTGGTTTCTACAGTATTTGTTAGCATTCTGGTAAATGTAAATTCTTTGTTCAGGAGTTTAAAGTCATAATTACATTACCCACATTTTAAAATACTAACACATAAAGAAAGCATCTCATGCTGCAGTCTTTGGAATGACCCTTTAAAAAATGGCCACCAGCTGAAGAGGATGCCTAAGAAAGGGCAACCTCGTTCTTAGGTATGAGCAAAGCTTCCATCTCAGACAAACTGAATGTCTTCAACTCTCAGCTAAAGTACCCAGTTATCTTGTGCTTGCTTTTCCTTTGGCACTACAGGTTGTATAGTCCCTTCACTTCAGGTTGTGTATCACCCTGTGACAGGTGACGGGAAGGTGCATTCACTCCTTACTGCGACTCTTGAGCTGACTCACTGCTTTGCAGGCCTTTCAGCTCAAGGGATTCTCCAATTGTTATTATCTCCAGGCTGAAATGTCCCCTATTCTTCCTTGGAGACTGCTCATAGAATCATAGAATCAGTTGAGTTGGAAGAGACCTTTAAAGGGCATCTTGTCCAACTCCCCTGCAATGAACATGGACACTTACAGATAGGTCAGGCTGCTCAGAGCTTGGTTCAGCCTGACCTCAAATGTTTCCAAGGACAGGGCATCCACCACCTCTCTCGGCAACCCGTTCCAGTACCTTGCTATCCTTATCATAAAAATCACCTTTCTTTTATGCAGTTTAAATCTCTCTTGTTTCACTTGTAACCATTTTCCCTGGTAATCATGTTCCCTTGTTTCCCTTGTATCACAACAGACCCTGGTAATGAGTCCGTCCCCTTCTTTTTTTATAGCTTCCCTTTAGATATTGAAAGGCTGCTATCCACAGCCTTCTCTTCTCCAGGCTGAACAGCCTCAGCTCTCTCAGACTGTCCTCGTAGGGAGGTGTTCCACATCTTGGATCATTTCCGCGCCCTACCTCTGGATGTACTCCAAATCCATTTCTCTCCTGTACTAAGGACTCTAGATCTTCACGCAGTACTCTAGGTGTGATGTCTCCAGTGCAGACTAGAGGCATGAATCACCTCCCTCGACATGCTGGCCATGCTTGCTCTGGTGCAGCCCTGCATACAGTTGACTTTTTGGGCTGTCAGGGTACATTGTGGCTCATGTCCAGCTTGCCATCAACCACCACCTCCAAGTCCTTTATGGCAAGGATGTGCTCAACCCTTTTGTCCCTGAGCTTATATTGGTAGCAGGAGTTGCCATGACTCAGGTGCAACATTCTGCACTAGGCTTTGTTGAACCTATGAGATTTTCCTAGGCCCACAACTTGAGCCTGTGTAGTCTCACACAGTTTGGTGCCATCCACAAACTTGCTGAGGGCACACTCAATCTTAGTATTGATGTCACTGATGAAGAAATTAAAAAGTCCCAGTGCTGACCCCTGAGAGAAACAACTCATTACTGATCTTCATCTGAACATTGATTCCCTGATCACTACTCCCTGAGTATGATCTTGCAACCAGCTCCTCATCCATTGAACAGTCTATTCATTAAATCCATATCTTTCAAATTTAGAGAGAAGGAAGTTATATGTGCACATGTCAAAGGCCAAACTGAAGTCCAAATGATACCAGTGGCTCTTCCCTTTTCCACTGATGCAGTTAAGACATCATAGAAGGTCACTAGGTTGGTCAAGCAGGACTTGCACTGCGTGAAGCCATGCTATTTATCTTGTATTACCTCCTTCTCTTCCATGTGCCTTAGCACAGCTTTCAGAAGAATCCATTCTATGATCTTCATTGGCACAGAAAAGAGGCTACAAGTTGATAGTACCCTGGATTGTTCTTTCTATCCTTCTTAAAAATAGGCACGACACTGCCTTTTTTCCACTCACCAGGGACTTCACCTGATTGCCATGACTTTTCAAATATCATTGAGAGTGGCCAGGTGACTATGTCATCCAATTCCCTCAAGACTCTGGGATGCATCTCCTTGGGACACGCAGACTTATGAACATTCAGGTTCCTCAACTGGTCCACTTACAGTAGGAGGGACTTCGCTTCTTCAGTCCTCAACTTCTGACCCAACTGCTTGAGGGCTATGTTAAGAGCAGTTGTCAGTGAAGACTGCGGCAAAAAATTGAAGTACTTGAGCCTTCACCTTGTCCATTGTTATCAGCTACCTGTGTTGCTCACTAGGGGAGAGTATGCATTCTTAGTGTCTTTCCTTATGGTTGATGTACCTGTATAAGCCTTTCTTGATCTTCTTTGCACTCCTTGCCCAGTGCAGTTCTAGTTGGGTTCTGGCCTTCCTAATCTGTTCATGTTCAGCCACCTCACTGGACCAAGCTGGCATTTAGAACAAAAACTGGTTTGGATGTATATGTCTTGCTCATACCTTTCAGTTAGAGATTAATGAAATCAAGTTTCTACTTTAAAAGATTGCTTAGCTCTCTCTACCCTGCTCTTAGAAGTGCAAGATAAACAGCAGAAGATACCAGTATTATATTTTCAACATTCTCTTTGCTGTTGGAATGCTAGGTTCTTTTGGTGTTCAAAGACTTGCTGTCCTGAATACCTTTGAAACTTAGGCCAACCTATTTTTTTCATTACAGCTGATGAAGTTATAAAGATATATTTCAGAATGAGCTGCACATATACACTGCATGTAGTTTTCCACCAGTACAGTAAGACATGAATACATTTTTATTAGCAGATGATTTGCTTCTGTGTGTTTCTATGAATCTGAAGATAAATCTCAATAAAAATATTATCATATTTACTAAAGCATTCAGATCCATGCAGATTGGCAATTTGGCAAAAAAGCTGGAAAGTAGTTAGTTTTATATTAAAAAAAAATCAATCTATACTTCTTCGTAACATTTTATCCTTTTATAATAAAACAGTTTTCAAAACAGTATCAATAGGTTACCATTTAATTTAACTTTTCTCTTACACCATATCTCATTTAGGTGGTGTGTTGTTTTTTTTTTTAAACAAAACATTTCAATACCAATTTTGTGGTAAGGTCAGGTAAGAGGCTTAACAGTGATTACTGTCTGACAGCTTAATCTCTGCAGTCTTTTGTCAATTTTTCTAAAAGGTATTCAGGCAGAGGTTCCATGTGAGGAAAAGCAGTGATTTTTAGACATCTACAACATATAATTTCGTTGAATTTGCATTAAAAATCATAGATTTTTTAAAAATTATGCCTGCCTGTTTCTATTACAATAGGCTTCTTGTAATGAGTCTCACCTAAATGTGAAGATGACTGTCTTCACTGCATTATGCCTTCTCTTAAAAAAAAAATCTACTAAGATCTGTCTTTCAGTCTTAAATATTAATTCCACATTACTAGATAGAATACTATAACATATGGCTCTAAATATAGCAGTTTTCTTCAAGTTGATAACTCAATACCTTTCTTGGGATTTGCAGTATATTACACAAATATTACACATTTGATTTTATTACTTTGTAAGTGCTACTATCTTCAAAATGAGTACTTATTTCACAGAAACTGGGAAAAATATTTTCTTTCAATTACATACTAATTATGCACTTCCAAAAATCAATACAATATATGAAGGGAAAAACACGACCAAACGCTTGATACCTCATACAAAGTAATGACACCATATGTTTGCACTGGCTCTCTCCACTGAAGAAAAATCTTCTCTTCAAAGGTACTCCCTTGAATGGATTCAAGTGGTACAGCACTTGGAACTAATGAATAAAAAATGGAGAAACAAATATAAAAGCAATCCATCCATTTTGTTGAGACACAAAATAGCTGTTACTATAACTGTTGAGATACAGTTAATCTTCCATGGAATTTGTTGAACATATTATACATATATATATATATATATATATATATATATAAATATAATCATTTCTTCCCCATCTCCCTAAGTTAAACACCTCATCTGCATATAATATGTTAGAAAATTACACCCACAATTATTTCCCAAAGATTGAAGCAGAGATGAGGGTAGAAAGAAGCAAAGACTCAGCTAAGAATAATTTATTTTGCAAGACAATGCTGTTAAGGAAATTTGTGTCAACTTCAGTATAAAAAGGAGTTAGTGAGAATTGCACTTTTCTAGTAGAACACTACTGATGAAGAAAGAAATAATTCAACTTACAGAATAAGAAACTAGATGATGTCTCAGGGATAAATTCTTGTAAATAAGAATAGTCACACCTACTTATCAATGACATTACTGTTCTGAACTGAAAGATACAAACATTTATGTATGAAAATAAAAAAAGACTGAAATAACAAGGTGCAGCTTTAGCTTACTGAACTAAGAATGCCAGCCTTGGAAAGGTGAGCCACATTTTGCACATAATGGTGATGCTCACTGACTATAGACCTGATGTCCTTAAACATGGTGAACACATGGAAGTTGTGATGCAGACAAACTGAAAACCTGACATTCATCTTTCTTAAAGATTCTGACTTTAGAAGAATGAATGGTGAACAGACAGGGACATCAGAAGAGTCTGATAAAGGGTGCATCAGCTGATCTTAGATATCTACTTCTTTTTTTTTTTTTTTCTTCCATTTGTTCTGCAACTATCTTATCCCAGAACCAATGTCAACACAGTTTTTAGCCAAGAGGGTGCGTTAACAGCACATGGACATGTATCTGAAATTCTGTTTTTGAAACAGTATATGAAACATAATGTAAAAAGAAAATTTTCAAAAACGCACTGCTAGGAAGCATTAGGCTATCACAAAGCTCACTGATGGGTGAGCACTTTCACCTGATGCGCACGTGAAAGTCCAGTAAGAAAATATATTTTTCATATGCTAGAAGGTGGAAACTAACTGCTACAACAGTTGAAACAACTTCTTGGACCCCTTTCTGAGTTCAATCCATACAACTAAAGTACAGGAAGAGAAGACCTGCAAGATAAACATCTGGTGACTCCTTCCTGTTTCTAGGTCTGATAGGGTATTTTTCTTCTTCTGTTCCTCCATGTTGTTGGTCTAGGAGCAAAATCGTTTAAATGGAGTTTAAATTGAGACTTTATAAGCAAATCTCCCTACCTCTCTACAGTGTCCCTTGTAGGAATTCCTTAGACAAAAAAAAAAAGGACACTGATAGCTTCTGAATTTGCTTTCCAGTCCTACATGGACCAGTGAAACTGTGCCATTAGTGAAATCCTAAGTATGGGCACAAAGTCTTCCTTCAAAGTAGGAGAAAACCAGCATTTTTCTATTTGGAATAATAGGGCTAATAATATATATGTAAAGGGAGAAAAATTAAATATAGCACAAGTAAGGTAAAAGTATGACAAAACATGGTGATAACTCTATAAAAGTACTTGAAGGCCATAAACTCTGAGCATTTACACTATCACGGAGGTCAAAGACTCAAAGAGCTTCCCTCGAGAGTCTGTAGGATATTCATCCATGGAAATACCGAACGCTCAACTGAACATAGCCTTTGCAACATACATTATAATGCAATTTGAAGATCACAGTGATTATCGGCCATATTTCATTGTTGTGTTACACACAGATACATACGTTTTACTGAAAGTGTACAATATACTAAAAAGCTGTATTTTTTCTATAGTATTTGTAAAAACATTGCAAAGACAGAATCGTAGATTTTCAGTCTTGATATTTCAAAACTGATTAATATTATGGAAAGAATACTAAAAAAAAAAGTATTCTCTGAACCACTGATGCTGGTTTTTAAGATGTCTTAGAATACTGTGAAGTTCAGGAGGGCCAGGAATAAACAAATACTACGTAAATTTTAAAGAAAATACAGAAATGTTACATATATTAGTAAGATCCTTTGCTTTTGCATCCTACAATTGAACTGAATAAAAACAAGGAGATGACAGCAAAATGAATTTTAATTAAACAATTTTTATGTTAGCTATGCTTGGTAAAATCTGTTGCATTAGCAACCTAAATTCCTAAATTGTTTAATTTATTCCCTCATATATTTTGATTAGAAATTAATACTGTACAAAACCATTACAGTACATATTAAATGATTTAATAGTTTTAAATGATACTCTTCAAGTATTTATTATAAGGGAAACTTGTCATTGCTGATTTTTTTTTCTAGAAATATTTCCAAAATGTTTGCAGTAAATCCATTATTAATTTGGAAGAAAATACACACTACTTCTAGTCAGACTGCAGATGTTAAAACTGTGAGAATAGATCTGTTGTAAGCAATCTCAGCCACTTGTTAAGGTTCCTTTGAAGGGTAGACAACTGAAGATTCGTATAAGCAAAGCCAAAAAACATCAGGCTCACTTGTAGAAGGTACCAAGGGGCTATATACCTTAGTACAACGTGTTCCGGAAAGGTGGAACCGATTCCTGGTGCATGACTAATTAAAAAAGTAAGTCCCATTTTGGTCCCATAGCTATCAGTACTCGTGTAAACTCTTGGTGTGCATAATCACTATAACATCACATAGGATTTAGAAGGATGTTAGAATCTATTCATGCAGTGTTACTACAGCATTACAAAGACTCAGTTGCCAACTCGGCTACACATACTTCAAAAAAGAGACTGATAAATTAAGTAATTATGTAAATGACTGAGGTCTGAAAACCCCACTTTAGCTAAGAATTACCAAAGGAGAGGGAGTATATATATATTGTAATGTATACATATAAAAAAGACACTGGATAAGCAACTAATAGCATTCAGTGGTGGAAACTGTAGATCAGGAAAAAGTATTTAATGTTGAGCATATCATTCAACAGAAAAGCTTACATGAAGATACTGTGGACCAGCACCTGAATTATTGTCACACTGATACTGGAATTTTTATGTGGCAGAACATAACTCTATAACTCTCATACTACGAGCTTAGTGAAGAAACGATAAAATGATGTATAATGTTACAGATTATGTAAAAGTCCATGATAATACATTTAGTAGATCCTTTACTGCCCTGAAACTGTTGAAGGTGGTGGAAAATTTGTTACAGATAGTGAAAGTAGAACATATAGAAAGATATGATGATCATCAGGTAGGATGCATGTACGATGTATATATATGTGTAAATACAAAAACTCACCATCTTCATCAGTTTGTACAACAAGTTCTTGGCTTTCTTTTCGTCCTTCCGGATTCATTAGTACTAATTTGATGCTGACATTTGTATATGGTGAAAGATTAGTAATGGTGTGCTGTGGATGTGAACTTTCTGTATCCCAGCTTACTTCTTCTCTCACTTGCTCTTGTCCTCCAGCCTGGTAACGGTAATGGACTGTGAGGTTGTACCGATGGCAACGCGTAACGTTATATCCAAATGGCTCCCAGCAAATAGTGATTTGCCTAGACTTGATCTCCACAACCTCTAATTTCCGTGGCCCACGCATTGGATCTGCAAAATTACCAATATAATTCTAGTATGATTATTGATGCATATTATAACAGTGAGAATATTTATGCATATTATAGCAGTACGTAAGAGTAATAAGAAGTTTTAGAGTTCTACAAATTTGACACGTAAGTTGAAACATCCATTCTTTTCTTTGCATAGTACAAATGCCAATAGAAGAAGTCAAAAGAAAAGTAAGAGCAAAACACCGAGTAATGGAGAAAGAAGTGACCCTAGTGAAAAACTATAAGGAAACAAAAAACCAGAAACTTATCTTTAAACTCAAACTGTAGTTTAAATAATGTTTACTCCTTTTACCCATTTGTTGCCTGCAAAAAATAACTGCAATTTTCATTACAAATTAATATGTTAACACTTTTAAAGCAAAAGCCGTCATTCAAGTTAATAGGTATCTAAAAATAAAAGGTAATTTTAGGGAAAATCTGCAAATATGTGTTGCTTTTCTCCCAGGACTGTTCCCCCCTCCCGCCCCCCCCCCCCGGGGGGGGGGGGGGGGGGGGGGGGGGGGGGG